GTACAACTGAAGGTGCCCGTCCCCATGCCATCCTCACAATTGTTATGTGGGAGCTCACGGTTGCAGCCTTTGTGCAAATCCATCTCCTGGAAGGGTTCCCACACTCGTCTGTCATGACCACTAGTCAGTCATACTGTGGGGCTGTGTGTTGCTGGAAGCTGTCTGTTATTTCAAACAGCAGGGTCACTCAAGGAAGACCGTTTCGGCAGAGCTTCTGGACTAGAACAGACCGCGAAGAAGTAGGCGGTCCACTGCTGAAGAATTGGCCATGGAAAACACGAATAGCGGAATTCTGCTTCTGGGATGGATTATTTTCTGCCTAATAGGATAATAAAATGGAGCACCCTTGTTAGGGTTTCAGACGCTGCATGGCTCTACTCCAAGAGTGCCACGTACGTTACTAAGATTACTAGCAACCTATCCTAGCCCCATGAGAAAACCGGTAAGACCATGGTGAGAAATATCATGTACAAGCGATCCTTTAATGCAAATAGTTCTTTAAAAGGACACAATGCAAATGAAGACCTAATGCCAGGGGCTTAAGTGGAGAGGAAATGTTTTGAGAATGATGAGGGCAATGAATGTATAAATATGCTTTACACGATTGATGTATGTATGGTGATGAGTTGTATGAGCCCCTAATAAAACAATTAAAAAATAAATTTAAAAAAAGGACACAATGCTTAAGGCAGATATTAAGCCAAACTGTTGTTAAAGACTTTGCCATTCAGTGAGACTTGAGGGGAATATTTTAGGTTTATGGTTAGTTCATATACCTCTGGGGCTCTAGGAAGCCTACATTCCATGAGAATTTGAAATTCTGTGATTTCACCCTTTGATCAGGACGACTCTTCTACTGAATCTTTATGAAAATGCAGACCCTACATTTTGATGTGCTCATTGACGGTGTTCACGGCTCAGTCCTGCTATTTTAACGTTGTAACATAATAGAACTCTTGACACACAGGCGGTTGGGTAACTGGTTAAGTCTGTTTCTGTGAGCTGCCCCTGGCCAGCTAACTGGAAGGTTGGAGCTTACCTGCACGCGTCTCAGAGAGGCCTGGTGATCTAATTCCCAAAGCTCAGCCACTGAAAACCCTATGGGGCCCCATTTTACCTTGACACACATGAGATTACTATGTGTCAGAAGTGACTTAATGACCATTTTTTCTTCCATTTCTAAAGTTTTAAGACAACTCTGTTTTCTGTTACTTGCAGTGGTGTGCTAACGCAGGTTTCTCAGCCACGGAATCAATCCTTAGTTCCCGTGACAGCTCCCGCAGATGCCTCCAATGTGGGCAGTCGGAGCAGAGGTGAAGCAGGAATGCAAGTCCAATCGGAGCGAGAGCCCGGCTCCACCTGAAGGCAGCCCCGCACAAGACAGCTCGGAGAAGCACTTCCTGTCCCAGATTGGGACGCCCCCAGCTGCTCTGGTTTGCTGCTTAAATAAGGTCCTTCAGAAACGCGTGAACCCTGTTACACTTTCTCCTGAGCATTGACGATTTTAATTTTATCTGAGTTGTGTGATATGTGGGAAGAAGCTGGGGCAGAGGCAAGAAGCTTGGGTGAATTTGGCAATGCTCCTCTGGACCGATCTCTTGTTCTATGGAACAGAGAGAGAGAGAGAGAG